CAATTTGTATCAATTGAACGTGTTATTGAATGATTAATGACTGTCAATTGATAACAATCATCGTATCAATTGAACATCAAATCGAATAATTGAATGTCTGATGATCTTTTTTTTTTTAAAAAATTGACTGTTCATTGAACAATCAATCGGATAATTGAATGTCTTGAATGTATTAAATTGAGCGTTCAATTGAACAATCCAACGATCAATTGAAACAAATTCAATCGAATAATTTGATGTTTGAATGATTAAATTGGATCTGTTCATTGAGACAACTCAATCGATCAATTGAACAATCAAATCGAATAATTGAATGTTTGAATGAATGTAAATTACTTTCACCTTGAACAATCATCATATTGTTTGAATGTTAAATTGACTGTTCAGATTGAACGTTTTGAATTTTGACACATATACCCCTCCCATACAGCTTATGCCTGCCAGAATCAGCAGCCCATGGATGTGCGAGATGGCTACGGATATATTTTATTATTTATTTTGTAATTAATTTCATTCAAATTTATTTTTCATTTCAAATTCATTTTTCATTCCAAATTCATTTTCATTTTCATTCCAAATTCATTTTCATTTCAAACTCATTTTCAGATTCGTATTCATTTCCATTCAAATTTCATTTTCATTTCAAATTCATTTTCATTTCATATTCCATTTTATTCCAATCTCATTTTCATCTTCAAATTTATTTTCATTCCAATCATTTTCATTTGCAAATTCATTTCATTTCAATTATTCAGTTTCATTTGCCAAATTCATTTCATTTCAAATTCATTTTCATCAATTCATTTCTTTATTGATTCATATTGTTATTTTTCATTTCAAATTTCATTTTCATTTCAGAATGAATTTTCATTTCATTTCAAATTTATTTTCATATTCAGTATCATTTCCATTCCAAATTTATTTCATTTCAAATTCATTGTTCATGTTTATATTTCATTTTCATTCCACCAATCATTTTAGTATTCAAATTTTTTTCATTCCAATTCATTTTCATTTCAAATTCATTTTCCATTCGATATTTCATTTTCATTCCAAATTCGATTTCATTGCAAATTCATTTTCATTTTTCAAATTTATTTCCGATGTTCATATTCATTTCTCATTCCAAATTAAATAATAAATAATATCCGTAAGCATCTCGGCCACCATAGTATGCTACAGCCAGAATGTGGACCGTAACTAGTGTCATCCTATATGTAGATGCAGGTTGGGTCGCGTGATGGGCCGCCTCTCGGCACGCATGGTGGTGGGTACACGCGGTGAAACATCATTGAAAGTGGGGCTAAGATGTGGCCAGCACTAAGTGCGCGTAGTTAAGGGCGGCAAAGCCATGAGCATGGTGGCAAAGCCAAAGCCAAACACAAGCAATGGCCTCTGTTGAATTTTGATCCAAAAAGTTAAAAAAAAAATTAAACAAATATTAATTGTTCTACTAAAAGAGAGAAGTGTCGTGGTCAGATGCAGGACTGTTACATGTACTCAAAGACTGTCTCAAATACCATCTCATGCATCTACATTTTCAAAAATTTCTAGGGAGGACCCCATACCCTTTTTTCAACCCTCATTGAAATCCTGCATCCGCCACTGAACCGTTCTATATTGAGAGCAGGGCCCACAACGAAACAAAGATGGGTCGCCTTTTTGCATGGCGCCCACAAACAAAAGATTGCAGAGCAGAGACGCGTGGGGTGAGGGGGTGTTGGCAAGGGAAGGGAGAACCACTAAAATAGTTAAGTCATTTCACTATTTTGCGCAGTTCGCTGTTTTTGGCCCTCCCTCCTGTTAAAAAAAATACTGACCACGCCACTGGCAGCACTATGAGAGAATGATCTATAAACAGTTGTTCTACTGGGGCCAGCATGGCTACCACAAGATACTAGCATGACACCATGGTTTAACAAGTACAAGGCAACACTAAGGAACACCATGCGTTTAAGCAGATAGATCGAGACCCGGATACTAGAAGAAGCTCGCTTGAATGTTGATCCTGCCCGCTAGCCGGATCTTACACTATGACACCATGGTTTAATGCAAGTGAGTAGCGTTATGCAACGCTGACAAACGTGCCGCAATAGTAAACGTAGGCTCGGGTGATGCCAGCCAAAATGTCGATCTGGCCAGCGTCATTGGCCATTTTACCAGAAAGAGTGCTGACGTTCTTTACATAACTCGTCACGTGAGAAACGTAGACTGGGCTTTTGCTGCCCACATCGCTGGGTTCTCGTGGCCTTCGCACGAGTTCAAAGTAGAATTGTTGTTGTTTATGCTTATTATTACTTACGTATGTTATTATTATTATTGATTATCATTTATTATTATTTCCAAAGTGGGTCACAGCATTGCGCGTGCTTCTGCGGTTTGACGTGTCCAACCTGCCGGACATAGGAGATTCAATCCAGAATTTTGCCGCAGATGTGTGCTGTCCCAGCTGCACTGTAACAGGCACGGTTGACAGCGTGATAGCGTCCCACTGTTAACAGGCACGCTGCAGCGTGTAATGTTAATGTGTTATACAGCAGCGTCGTGACAGCAGACGGACAGAGTGCCAGCTGCAGCTTGTACGGCACGAGTGACAGGTGATAGAGTGTAATGTTTATAACACAAGCTCGTGACAGCACGACGACAGCGTGACAGCTGCTTGCACATGTAAGGCAGCACGATGACAGCGTGCATAGATGGTAATGTAAAAAAATATAACATCAGCGTACGTGACAGCACGATGACAGCGTGATAGCTGCACTGTAACAGCACGATGATAGCGTGATAGATGTAATGGTACTATAACACAGCGAGCGTGGACAGCACGATCGACAGCCGTGAACAGCGTGCACACTGTAACAGCACGATGACAGATCGTGGTGTAGATGAGATGTTATGAACAACAGGCGTCGTGACACACGACGGCAAGGCGGGATAGACTGTACGTGATATAACAGCACGGATGGACCGCGTGCGTAGTGTAATGTATAACACAGCGTCGTGACAGCCGACGACGGGTGCAGCTGCCTGTAACAGCACGTGACAGCCCGTGGGTAGATGTAATGTTATAACACAGCGTCGGTACAGCACGACGGACAAGCTCGCGTGACAAGCTGCACTTAACAGCAACATTGACAGCGTGGTAGATGTAATGTTATAACACAGCGTCGTGACAGCACGACGACAGCGTGACAGCTGCACTGTAACAGCACGATGACAGCGTGGTAGATGTAATGTTATAACACAGCGTCGTGACAGCACGACGACAGCGTGACAGCTGCACTGTAACAGCACGATGACAGCGTGGTAGATGTAATGTTATAACACAGCGTCGTGACAGCACGACGACGATGATTGCTTTCGGCTAGCACACAATCTTCCGCGAGAGGCGTGATGCGTGACGTAATTCTTCTAGCTAGGTAGATAGATCTAGCAGCAGCAGCTGAGTCAGCGAGAGGAGTCAACGAGAGTGCTGTGTTTTATGCGCTGCATCCTGCTCCTTACCGCGTTAGCTTCTCGTCGCGGACGTGCCCGCGCATCGCTCCAAGCTGCTAATCACGATGGATGCTGCAATCGTCGGCCAATATACGTCATCATCGCCGCCGGGGGCTCTTATCACGTTTATCTCCTATCACGCGTGATCAGTAAGGCCGACGGCAGTTTTTTCTTGTGACAATGCGCAGGAATTATACAGCGCGAAGGCGCGTTGATTGGCAACTGCGGGGGGAATAGTCAGTCGTTGTTGTGTTGGAACGGCGGCCCTGCTTCTTGTTCTGCGATATATATTCCTATGTGTCGCGAGGGAAATTGACGGTGATGAGTCGGGTCCTATATTCATCAGCTTTCATCCGTCGTTTCCACAGACACTATAGTGTAGAAATGTCTTGCCATGCAGTAAGTTTCTACATATCGAAGTTGTTGCATGTCTAAATTTTAGGTGGCAGCGTGGTTTATATAGTTTGGTTCTAATGTTGTGCACCAAGTTTAACCACCAGACACACGGAGGAAGACCTCGGTCTGTCTTATAGTTGAATGCATCCGGAATCCTAGCTAGTAATGAATAATATTTCCAAATGAGTACCAGCTAGAAGGCTGTTGTGGTGAAGCTAGTTATGAGTTACTTGCTGAATGCCCTCGCCTGTTTTACATAGGATTGCTCTCCGTATATCTTCAATCTGTCTGGCCTCTAGTGGCCGAGTTATCTATGGATGAGTGGAATTGGGTATTCTCTGGCACAAGCACGAATGTTCCTTTAGTTTGCCACAATAACAGTCTGGCCGATAGATCGTTTTGAGAAATTGTCGACTGAATAAGATTCATGTCGATTGCCCATGTGTTATTGACAAACCATTTCTGTAGAGCACTTAGAGGGAGCCCGCGGATGAATGCAAAATTTTGTAATCTCTGTAATTTCTGAGATATGAGAAGCAATTGCTCATAATCTTCTATGCTATTATCTCACATGTTCAATTACTTTTTAATATCGGAAAGGCTGCGGGACTGTGTTATTGACAGAACGTTTGTATAGAGCTCTTATATAAAAACAGTAACCTAGTATCTCCAAAGTTTTGTAACTATCTATAACAAGTTGAAAATAAGTTCCCGTAATACAGAGATCGCTATGTTAGATTCTATGCTGCCGACTCCTATAAAATATCTATCGCGATATAGATTTCACGAAAGATTCTGTAAATGTTCTATAAATTCGTACCTTATATTAGTTTAATAATAGATGCGGGGTGTGTTCATATGTAGGTGTATATAGACTGTATGTGGAGCATTGCATGTATATTAAATAATTTGTTCGCTACCGTTTCCAAGCTAAACAGCAATTTGATTATGGGATGTTATGGGTAGTATTAAGCTTATCTTAAGTTGCATATCTTAATTTGCTTAATCTTAATTAACTTGCAGGTAGATATCCCAACAGAGTATAGCATGAAGAGGTTCGTGTAGTTAGCAATTGTTCTCAATTTCCTTTGCATTTACTTGTTTCGCAGGCTCTCGGAAACTTCTACTTGATCCATGAGGAACTCCAGAATGTCACAATGTGGGACTTTGCAGGTATGAATGTGTGTCATATTCACCTGTCATGGATCGGGGCGCGAAATCTCACGGCTGTCACGTTACTGCGCAGGATATATCAGGGGCGGATCCTGGATTTTTGAAAGGGGGTGTCCAGGAAGAAATAAAGGGCACTTTTTCCTGTTTAATTTTTCTGGTGTTTTAATAAGCTGCCGAAGGCACTTGGGGGGACCACCCCCAATAAAAAGTTTAACAATTGGTGCATTCTGAGAGCATCTGAGCAGTAATTTTGATGTCTAGAATGCAAGATGGAATTCCAAATTTTTAGCAGAAAATTATCTTTTAATAGGGCACTTTGAAATTAAAGGGTGTGTCCGGACACCCCCCTCACCCCCTAGATCCTCCCGTGTATATACAGTCACTACTTTACCGCGCGCGCCCGTCGCGCTCACTCAGCGAGTTATATAATAATAGATGATTATTATGTATTATTATTTATTAGTATTATTCACTATCTATTATTATTATTCGCTCATGATGCTATCGTGCGTCGCATGTTATAACTGCATGATTCCCTGCGTCATGTGTTCGTATTTGGCTGCGTCATGTGTTCGTATTTGGCTGCGTCATGTGTTCGTATGTGTTACGGCCCATGTTTCCATCACGGTTGTCTGCATGTTCACCACTTTCTGGCTTCGTGGTCTCCGCTTTAACAGCTTCATTATGACAATGTAATGCGGTCCGTGTGGTGCCTGGATCGCATCGACTTTTTGCAGCGTATGCTGCAGCCTGGTTGTATGAATACGTTCTAGGAACGAATTTATTTATAAAAAAGTATATATATATAAGTAAGTATATATAAGTAATAAGTTATAAATTTATAACTCATGTAAATATGAAAAAAATTGAGAAAATGGAAATGGAATGTTTTTTTTTTATATGATGTGTTTCGGGCTATCTTTGAATAATTTGCTTTGGCCCCGGTCACGTTGGAATTGTGCGCTTATAGAATCGTCTAGCAGTCATAGAATTCGAAGAACCACCATCGTTGACATCTTACAGCGTTCGTGTTATACTGCCTTCTGCAAATTGAATTTTCTAGATTTTCGAGGCGACCAATAAAACAGGAAACCTAATCGGCTATTTCCGCTAAAAGAGTATTGCTAAAATTGTTCAAATTTCATTTATCAAAAATTGTGCGAAAACGTTGATTCCATGATACACAATGTATTTAGTGTGCTTTCGTCTGTGCGTGCGTGCGTGCGTGCGTACGTGCGCGTGCGTTTGTGCATACATATAAGCGAGTGATCCACACTACGATGAGTTTGTGATCCACACTGAGAGTATGCACGACTGTGTAATTAGGTCTGTCGTAAATACTTAAATCATACACCAATGAATGAGAACGTTTTCGATTACTATATGTTAAATTTCTATCCGCATTAATATACATCTCATTTTCTTGCAAATGTCATTTTCTTGCGCGCATTCATCTATCACATTAAATATGTTTTCTTATTCTAATGAGCGCTCACACTGATATATCTGAAAGAAGCTGGATACGCAAATGGTTTAGAAATAACAGTGGCAATTAATTTATATTTATATCTATATTATAATGACGGGGAATTAAAATTGCAGTCGAGCGGATACCGAATTTACTTTTAAGCGTATAAAAATCTGACTAGTACGCGGTGGACTGTAAATGGCACGAATTGTGAAGCCGTGTAGGAGATATCTGTTAACTGAATGTATACGTACGCGTCGATTGTTGAAGGCGACTGTATTATACACACCCTATCGCCATGAGCCGCCACGCTGTTCTCTCGTACAGTGAGATGTTACAGCGATGGGTAGCCAGCCGTCACACTTGCTGTAGGTGATTAAATAAAAGATTTCACGCGTTAAATGTAGCCAGTTGGGTAATCAAGTAAACACCTAAATGGGTTTTTTTACCCGCATATTCTCATCAGTAATTGCATGAACACAAGCTGTTCGCGACAAAAGCGCGTAAGCTGTTATTTGCGGACCACTAATTGCTGCCGCTCTCTTGGAGGAAGCCAGCGATGGTGCATTCGGTGATTAATGTCGCGCCACGCTGGTAATTATATGCGAGTTTTTACACGGTTTTAATGATGTGCGGACCCATGCAGCTCCCCCTCTCTCAGGGTCTCACAGTAGCACATAAACTGTACCCTAGGCTGCTGTGAGTTCGTCGTTCATGTGATCGTGTGATACCTTCCTGTGCTTCCCAGATACGATTGTCACACGTCTAGACTAGGGATGGAATTGGCTGTTAGCTATAATTACCGTGTTGCCGTAGAATGCGCTCGCTCACGGTTCGGTATGCGATTGTGACCCGCTCCAGCAAAACCAGGATTAAGTAGGAAATTCTACAAATTGAGTTATGTGCATATCTGAATAGATAATTTATTTACATTTAAAATGATATATAATATTTGGCTATATCTAAAGAATTGACCTATCTACAGCAATTTGAAGATCGGAAACCGACTTATTCCGGAATATGCAGCTTTTGAGATAAAGCGTTCCGGGTAAGGGGCCCAGTCGGGGATAAGCGGTCAGGGGCCGGTGTGAAGGGCGAAGAAAAAACGCTCATTACTCAAAACAATGACTTGCGACTTAGTCCGTATTATGCTGGAGCGGGTCACAATTTATTAGCCGTGTCGACTCAGTTCTGGCTGACCTAGGCACGGGCTCGAGAGGGATTTAATGTGTTGATATCAGGAGTCTATCAATATGGATAGATTCCTGTTGATATCACGAACCAGATAATATCTTCGATATTAATATTTTAAGACTGCAATAGGGTAATGTTGTAGGTATTTCTAAAAACAATATTTTCTCCTAATTAATTTTGTTTAAACATTTGATCTGATGTGACAACTAGGAAGATGCGTATTTTTATTGCTATTTAGTTGGTTGGCGACCTGATGTAGTTTGTACCTCAATGTATCAGGTGTCTATCAATATGATAATCATATATTGATTCAATATCTATTGATAGACTCCTGAATGTATCAGTAAACATAAAACCGCTCTACGCTCAGCGTAACGGTTACGGATCAGAACTGTGCATGTGTGCAACAGGAAACGTTGGTTGTGATTTAATCAGGCATGATTCACCTGAGCCATGCGGTTATGAAGAGACATGAAGGGCAAATGAAGAGAGCAAGGCAGGAGCCGGTGAGAGGAAGAAGGACGAGAGGACGACAGAGAATTAGATGGAGGGATGGAGTGGATGCGGAGATGAGAAGGTTGGGAGTAACGGAGGACGATACGGCCGATCGAGGAAGGTGGAGAAGAATCATCAACAGGGAGGTCAGCCCCTAGCTGACGTCTCAGCGTGGACCATCTGCGAGAGACTACGACAAAGAAGAAGAAAGAAGAAGAAGATTCGCCTGATATGGACCTCGTCAGATGACGCCTTTCCTATAGTGTCCCTCTGACTAATAGTGAGCTTTACTCGATTTCCTACACACGACGTGGGGCTAATGACATCTCTACGACTTCCTACTTATAGAAGCCACATGGCGGTCCTCATTACACACCAGGAATGAAAAAAATTTGAATACTAAAATGATTGGTGGAATGAAAATGAAATATAAACATGAACAATGAATTTGAAATGAAATAAATTTGGAATGGAAATGATACTGAATATGAAAATAAATTTGAAATGAAATGAAAATTCATTCTGAAATGAAAATGAAATTTGAAATGAAAAATAACAATATGAATCAATAAAGAAATGAATTGATGAAAATGAATTTGAAATGAAATGAATTTGGCAAATGAAACTGAATAATTGAAATGAAATGAATTTGCAAATGAAAATGATTGGAATGAAAATAAATTTGAAGATGAAAATGAGATTGGAATAAAATGGAATATGAAATGAAAATGAATTTGAAATGAAAATGAAATTTGAATGGAAATGAATACGAATCTGAAAATGAGTTTGAAATGAAAATGAATTTGGAATGAAAATGAAAATGAATTTGGAATGAAAAATGAATTTGAAATGAAAAATAAATTTGAATGAAATTAATTACAAAATAAATAATAAAATATATCCGTAGCCATCTCGCACATCCATGGGCTGCTGATTCTGGCAGGCATAAGCTGTATGGGAGGGGTATATGTGTCAAAATTCAAAACGTTCAATCTGAACAGTCAATTTAACATTCAAACAATATGATGATTGTTCAAGGTGAAAGTAATTTACATTCATTCAAACATTCAATTATTCGATTTGATTGTTCAATTGATCGATTGAGTTGTCTCAATGAACAGATCCAATTTAATCATTCAAACATCAAATTATTCGATTGAATTTGTTTCAATTGATCGTTGGATTGTTCAATTGAACGCTCAATTTAATACATTCAAGACATTCAATTATCCGATTGATTGTTCAATGAACAGTCAATTTTTTAAAAAAAAAAAGATCATCAGACATTCAATTATTCGATTTGATGTTCAATTGATACGATGATTGTTATCAATTGACAGTCATTAATCATTCAATAACACGTTCAATTGATACAAATTGATTGTCCTCAATGAACAATCAATTTAATCATTCAAACATTCAATTGACATCAATTTAATCATCTCAACCATTCAATGAACGAAATCATTTAATCATTAAAACATTCAATGAACAATGCAATTTAATCATTCCCCCAAACATTCAATTTGAACAATCAATTTAATCAATTCAACATTCAATTGAACATCAATTAATTCATTCAACACAATTCAATTGAGCAATTGAATGAATGAATTGCCAATTGAATCAAGAATAGGTTATTGAAATCATGGAATGGAGCAACTCGCCGAGGCTGCGTATACCCGCCAAATTAAAACCCACATCAGAGATAAAGACATGAACGAAAACGTGTAGCACGTACGTTTGGCTAGAACGCAATCGCCAACCGTTCCCAGCTAAGTGTGTGTACCCGCGTTACGTGCCGTGTACCCCGACGTGTACGTAGCGTGTACGATGCGTGGCA